CAAAGCATGAACATTTTAAACTTTATTTCTTCTCTTTTAATCATTCAAAACACACAACAGCTCCCAATCAACAGGATCAGGAATACTTGAATGAAACGTGGCCTAAATTTAGCCTAAACTGAGCATTGAACGTCTTGAAAGTCCATTCGGCTATGGATATGGGGAATGATTTCATATCTGAAACAAAAAACACACAAAAAAATTTACTAATTTCATATTTTATCACTAAATAGCTTAATACAGACATAATATTTAGTGATATGCAGCCTTATTCTAGCGTAGACTTCTTCAGCCACAGGACTAAGACGAATAGGCACATAAATAACGCTAAATGCGGCAGTATAGGGGAATTAAAACCATTTCTTACCTCAAATTAGTCAGAAATACGTTTCTGCTGCCTATTGCTAGCCATGCCTAAACGAATGTGAGGTGGCGGAAGCTTCCGGGGGAGTAGCCTAGTTTTTTATGAAATATTAAAATAATGAATCATTAGTTTATATCTTATACACAGCCCATCATTTTAATCCCATAGTCTTTAAAAAAATAAATACATAAATAATTTCATGTTTTTAAGTACAATATTATGTTACTTCCACAGCCCCCCACCATGGGGGGCTGATGCTATGACGAGGGAGGCTGCAGCCCCCGCAGCACCCCCCTTCCCGTGCCACTGCATTAATGTGCATAAATAAGTCTTAGCTACATTAACCATACATGTAAAAGGAGTTTTATGGGGCCCCCAGGAACTTGGGGCCCTAGGAAACTGCCTAGGTTTGCCTAATGGTGAATGTTCACCGGTTGGTGAGCAGCTGCCTTCTGTGACTCTAAGCAACTTCTCTGATCTGAGTACCGTAAGATAATAATTTCTATCAAAATCTGTCGTCATGTCTCATGGTTATTTAATACATATACATTATGAAGAGTTATTTACAATTTCTATCTCCTTGGAGATTACATCACTCGCTCTTTCTAGTTGTTTTATAAATTCCATTCTTGCCTTTTAAGAAAAAGTATTTTGTACCGACCAGTTCTCCTTTGGTTAACCTGATAAATATAAACCAGCCAAACAATCGCAATTTTTCTTTTTTTATGAACCAGGAATAAACTCCTCATTAGTTTTAATACTAAATAATCATCTTCAGACTCATTGTATATGCAAAAAAACCCAAACAAATAAAACACCCTCTATGCATCTCCAGACAGTTATCATTCTCCCTATCATTACCACATATTAATGTAAATACCGCATGTCCTGTGGTGGTTTGAAAATGTGGCAATGCTAGAATACTTTGGTGCAGAAGACACAAGAAGCAGAAATTATGAGAAAAGTAAAACAAATCAGTATCTGTTGTTCTGGATCAATGTCAGAATATAGAGTCTGAACTGAAGCACAGCTAAGAATTACAGGGAATTAGAAATATAGTTGTGTTTTTCTGGTTTATGTATGTATGGCTTTTCCTCACTTCAATACACACAGTAAAGAAGAAGTCATATTTGTCAAAATTAGTAGATGGGGCAACGGTGTGCAGAAAAAAATAAAAATAGAGTATTCTTCGACTTTGATATCACTTACATTTGATGTACAGTTGTACTGTAAAGTTTACACACCCTTCAATTACAGACAGAAATAAAACAGCTAAATGGAGATTAAAAAAGTTATAAGAAATGGAAATAATGACATAGACTTGGAATATATATATATATATATATATATATATATATATATATATATATATATATATATA